AAAAAAAAAAAAAAAAAAAAAAAAAAATCTGTGGGCGTAGTGGTTTTAAAATCCCATTCGTGACAGCTCATAAATTACTTTATTCTTTCCTCCCAATCCAAAATCAAAATCATCAAGAAAAAGAGAAAAAAAAAAAATGAGTGCCTCAATCACTTCCCTTGCTTCCTTCTTCTTCCTTGGAGCCCTCCTACACCACGCGGTTGCCGTCGACCACATTGTCGGAGGCGATCATGGGTGGAACCTCCCACCAACCCCCACCTTCTTCTCCGAATGGGCTAGCAATTCAACCTTCTACATCAATGATAGACTCAGTAATTATTCACTTCATTCTTTCTTTCTTTCTTTCTTTCTTTCATTTATGTTACTCGTAACTTGGATGCATGTTTTGTTGGGCAGTAATCAAATCAAGAGGCAACGAAGTTCACGACGTTGCAAGCCCAAAATCTCAAGCAGATTTTGACGGATGTGTCCTCCCACCATTTGTTTATGATTTTGTTGGTTTCATTTCGTTACCGCGTGTTGGCCGCTTTTATTTTATCTCCGCTATGGGAAATGATTGCAATGCAGGAATGAAATTTGCTATCGACGTCCTACCAATGTTGTGAACATGAATGCCAAATTGTTGGAGGATGATATCATCATTTTCAAATAATACCACACACATAATTGTGGGACTTCCTGCACTCTCTACTTCTCTAAACCACTCTTGTGTTCATCTTTTCTTTTCCTCATTGAAGATATATTTCAACAAAATTAAAGCAACAAATTTTAACAATTGTGTTACTGTTGTAATGCTTTCTTGTGTTGATAGCGTTTTACCAAGTTGGTCAGCATGGTGATCTAAGATTGCATAGCAGCTATCTATTCTACTTCATAACTCCATACGTAGGTACTTATTGTTGCATAACAGCTATCTCTATTAATTTTGACTTTTTTGACTCTCAATTGAAACGCATTTAAGTTTGTAACTTGAAATAATTGATTTGTATTAAAAAAACTTTTAAGTATAATGAATTTTTTATTTTCTTAAGGTGAATTCAGCATAGATTATTTAAAGGGGAAGAAGGACTCAATAGTTTTCAAAAACTTGTGAAAGAGATTACAAGATATCTCTTTTAAGTTTGCTCTACCAGTTAATTCTCCTAAATTTGCTCACACGTTACCATCTTCTAAATTTTCTCCCTTAAGTTAATTTTCTTACTCAACAAATTATAATCTTCTAAGTTTGCTTCACAAGTTAATTCACGTAAACTTGTTGCACATGTTATTATCTCTTAATTTTGCTCCATAAGTTAATTCAAAAGCTAAATCACATCCAAGCGGTAACGACCCAAAATTTTTTACTTAATTTAAAGTTGCTACAGTATACATATCCTAAACATTACATGCGGAAGACTTCATTTGAATTCCATAAAACATATCGTTTATCTTAAAACACAATCATAGACTTACGTGTTTCGAAAACATCTTTAAAACGACACAACAAAAGACTAAATAAAATAAATAAGTGTTTAAGTTAAAAACATTCTATTCTAGCGTAAGTCTAAGAAAATAAATACCACTATCATATGCATGTGTCATGGTCTCGAGTTGCGATGTCGTCGTCAGCAGTACAAGAATGTCTTGCCTTAACCTGAAAAATGTAGTAGCACATGGCTTGAGTATTTAAAGAAATACTCAGTAAATGACCTCACTATTGGGGTTAAATGCAAGAATATGACAATGCAATGATGGGACCTATTCTTTCAATCTATTTTCTTACGGTACTGTCCTATTAGGTAATTTGGACATGTACCATATACTTTACACACAGCCCATACATGCGAGTATGGGCTCACTAGTCAGTTCGCACACTGCTGGGCCACATTCCTTATCGGGCGAGCATACTCTGGGAGCTCCTTAGGCCGGACACCCATTAGAACTAGTAACCATCACGACAGCGTTATGCAAAACATAACGATCGTTGTCTTGCCATTGGATGTACGCTACCGTACCCTCATGATGGAATAGGGGTATACCCCCAAATGCATGAGCAGACATAATGCATGAGATCCCCAATATTTCTACTTTTATCATTAATGAATATAACCTTTCTATCGTCTTTCATGCTTAACATGTCCTTTCTCATTTTTCAATGTACGTATCATACATAATCCTAACGGGGTTACATTTCCTTTCATTTATCGTAATATCATGTCATTCATTACATGTTGTATACATACAATTTAGAAAACATAACATAACGCTCCATGCTTTTAACATGTCATTTCATAACGTGTGATAATGTTTGCTTAATCCACCACACCTCAATCGTGGTGAGAGTTCTCTTATTTATAATCATTTACAGAATACAGAAATATTGTAAATTACAAATAATATGGAAATAACAATAAAAGGAAAGAATAATAAATGAATACAATATATTTGCCTTTAATAAAATGGCAAATATGGTAAGCCGTAATGTAAGACAAATATCTAGTTATAAAGAACGGTCAACTATCCTTAACACCCGCAAGCTAAGCGTCGGATTTGAACGAACGTGAAGCTTGGATCTGAAAAATTCAAAGAGAGGTCGAGAAATACTTTTTGTGAAGATGTCAACAACTTGAAGATGAGAAGGTACATATTGTGTGCGAAGTTTGTCAGCGATAACAAATTCTCGAAGGAAATGATAATCTAGTTCAACATGTTTGGCCCGCGTGTGAGAAACGGGATTAGAGCTAAAAAAAAATACCACTTTTGTTGTCACATAAGAGTAAGGGCTGCTGTGAAATAGGGACCTTGAGGTCATGCAAAGAAGTTCAGCAGCAGTTGTGGCAAGAGAACGATACTCAGATTCACAACTGGAGCGTGAGACAGTAGGTTGCCTTTTGGCACTCCAAGAAACGAGATTGTTACCATGATAAATAGAATAGCCGAATGCAGAACGATAAGTATCGGGACAACTAGCCCAGTCAGCATTCGAATAAGCGACTAGCGTATTAGGAATAGTGGATGAATGAAAGGTAAGACCAATGTGGAGTGTTCCTTTGACATAGCGAAGAATACGTTTGACAGCAAGAAAGTGATCCGCAGTAGGGGCATGCAAGAATTGACTGACAAAATTGACAGCATAGGCAATATCTGGACGCGTAATAGTTAAGTACTAAAGGGCGCCAACAAGAGATCTATAGAGAATAGGATCAAAGAAAGGAGAATCATTAGCAGTCAGGTGTTGAGAAACAACCATGGGAGTGTGGACTGGTTTGCTATCGAGCAACTGAGCACGAGTAAGAATATCTTAAGCATATTTTAACTGACTAATAAAGAGACCATCAGGAGTGGGTGAAGCTTCAAGACCAAGAAAGTAACTGAGAGAACCCAAATCTTTGGTAGCAAACTCATAATGAAGCTTGCAAGTAAAGCTGTCAATAAGAGATAAGTTGTTGCCGGTAACAATAATGTCATCAACATAAAGAAGCAAATAGATAAGGTTAGATTGCCGATGAAAGACAAAAAGGGACGTGTCAGCATGACTGCAAGAAAACCCAAGTGTGAGAAGAAATGAGCTAAAATGCTGAAACCAAGTGCAAGGAGCTTGCTTTAAGCCATATAGGGCTTTCTTTAATGGACAAACATGAGTGGGAAATCGAGGATCAATATACCCAGGAGGTTGTTCCATATGAACACGTTCAATAAGATTTTCATTGAGAAAAGCATTCTTAACATCAAGTTGTCGAAGAGGCCATTTATTTGTAACTGCAATAGAAAGCACAACACAGACAGTGGTAGCTTTGACAACCGGACTGAAAGTGTTAGTGTAGTCAAGAGCAGGAACCTGAGTATAACCTTTGGCAATAAGACGAGCCTTGAAACGCTTGACGAATCCATCAGGCAAATATTTAATACGAAACACCCATTTAGAGCCCACGATGTTGGTGTTGGCAGGGCAAGGAACCAAAGTCTAAGTATCATTTTGTTGTAACGCTCGAATTTCTTCATCCATGGCAGCAACCCAAGTAGGATTCTTAGCCACAAATTTGAATTCTTTTGGCTTAGTGGATGCAAGAAGAGTAGAAAGAAGTCCAGATGAGCCAAAAATACCAAGATTTGCTGGATGACGAGTCTTGAATATATCAGCTTTGGCTCATGTGATCATAGGATGAATGCCCAAAGAAGAGGAATCAACAGTAGGTTCAATAGAGGTCGAATTAGAAGTCAAGGGTGACAAAGTGGAACCTGCAAGAGAAGTATCAACCTACACAGACTCATCCACAAGGTCAGAACAAATATCACATGAGGATGAACTGGATCGAGGAATGTGCGATGATTAAGTGGTAGGGGAGATGAATCAATATGATAAAGATGTGGTTCCAAGAAATTTGAAATAGGAATAGAGGAAAGAGGTTGGGCCTAGGAGCTAGGGATAGCAGGAAAATGAGTTTCATCAAATTGAGCATGGCGGGTGATATATAGCTTAGTGGTGGTGGGATCAAGACAGCGAAACCCTTTATGAGCAGGACTGTAACCCAAAAAAATACAAGGAATGCTACAAGGAGAAAGCTTGTTAGGCATATAACAGACAAATAAGGATAAACACAACATCCAAAGGAATGAAAATTGTTATAACGTGGAATGTAGCCATAAAAGAGTTCAAAGGGTAACTTACCTCCAAGAAGTGGAGTAGGCAACCGGTTGATAATATAAGCTACAGTGCTGAAGGCGTCAACCCAAAAACGAGGAGAAAGATGAGAATGAAAGAGAAGGGTCAAGCCAGCCTCAGTCACATGACGATGTTTTCTCTCAGCACGACCATTTTGAACAGGTGTATATGGACAAGAGAGTTGATGGTGGATGCCAAAATTACGTAAAGCCAATCTCAATTCCTAATCCTACGTGTGATCACCTTGGGTTAAGTGGTTAAACTCTTGTTATTTCTTTATACAGGTTTCGTTTGGATAATAATATTTTAGGAAGGCTTCCTTAAAGGTTTCCCACGTTGTAATTCCCCCGCCCGGGTTGATGCTCTGTTTATTATCCGACCACCACACTTCTGCATCTTTTTGTAACACATATGTCGCACACGCCACCTTATGTACATCAAGGCATCTCATTGATTCAAAGGTCGTTTCCATGTTTGCAATCCACATCTGAGCCACTGTGGGATCTTCCTTTGAACCGACAAAAGAACGGGGGTTATACCGTCTGAAATCCTTTAACCAACTCGCACCCCTATCTGGATGCGAGTTGTTGACTGGTTGTAAGGCTACTGCATCCACTAGTTGCAGGGCCGCCGCATTGGCTGGTTGCGTGGCCACCACATTGGCTGGTTGCATGACCATTGCCGCGACTTGTTGCGTAGCCAACAACGTGGCTTGTTGTATGTCTAGCATGGTTTGCATAGTTTTTTGGAGGGATTCCAACAGTAACTTTGTGGCGGGGTCTAACTCGGCCTGTGGTGCAGCTTGAGGGGGCGGTGCATATTCAGGAGGGGTACAGCTTGTGGGGGAGGTGCATATTCAGGAGGTGGTACGGTTTGTGGGGGAGGTGCATATTCAGGAGGTGGTACAAACGCATATGGTCCGGTAGTCGACCCCTCTTGGGAAGAGCTTCTATCGGCTTCTCCTCTTCCCCCTCTCCTAATGGGAGGTTGTCCTCTCCCACTTCTACCTCTTCTACGTCCTCTGTGCGGCATGGTTCTAGA